ATCCAAAGAGGATCAAATGCAAAGATGCCCAGTACCTACTAATTAAAGGAATTTTTTTTTTGAACTCGGCTACTTCTCTTTAAGATGCGTAATGGAAAGTGAAACGGAAGATCTCCTGTAGAAGATACATCCAAGAGAATGAGGGAGTCACTCTGAAGGAAAGACCCTGACACACAAGATTCAGTGGCAAAGATACTTCTGGTTGACATTTCTAAAAGATTCAAAAGAATTCTCGAAGAGGTGTGAACAGTGCCAGAAGTACGCACAATTGCAATACCAACTAACCCAAAGGTTTCAACCAATCGTCAGCCCCCGATCTTTTGTCTTCTGGGCGATCAACATCATTGAGTTGTTCCCACCGTCCCGTCGAAGAGCCAACAAAAATTCTTCTTGGTCGAGGTAGATTATGTCATCAAATGGATTGAGGCAAAGCCACTCCTCCGCATAATAGTGGAGATTGTTTGGAATTTCATCTTGACCTACCTCATCTACATGTATGGACAACCACTCATCCTCATCATGGACGAAACTTAATTTGTAGAAAAGGGAGTGAAGGAATTATGTCAAAGTCAGGGTATCAACTTGAAATTTATGTCGGTGCACCACTCCTAGACTAATGGTCAACCAGAAGCTGCCAATAAGATAATTTTAAACTTTCTAAGAAAGAATGATGAAGGTTCCAACGGGAAATGAGCTGTTGTTTAACTATCCGTCCTCTAGGAGAACCGAACAACTACAGAGAAAACGTTGATTATGTTATCACACAGGATGAATGTTGTTTTGTCAGTGGTGTACAATCACCATACTCAACGAGTGGTAACTGCTTCAGCTTTTGATGAAGACCCGACAGAGTGGCAGGAAGCAAAAGATGAGGGAGCAACGCTTGAATTTGACTTAGAGAAGGAGATCCCCATTGAATTAGCTCCCCGACAAGAGGAGGTAAGGATACACACTACACGCTACTAAAGCAAGCATGTTTGAGAGAATAACTTTGCACCTGGAGACCGCGTACTAAAGAAGGACGATTCAGCTACATGCAAGTAGTTGGTCAACAAGCTCGAACAAACTTGGATTGGATCATTTATCATCGATCAAAGGGTCGACCTCAGAATGTATAAGTTAAAGACTTACACCGATTGAGGAGTCCCTCAAGCATGGAGCAAAGATGACCTCAAGCGTTTCTTTCCTTAGGTTGGCTATGCTAACAATTTAAAAAATATGGATTGGCTAATTAAATGTGTAATCCCAAGTTGAAATAACTTTCAGGGAACTTGAGGAGTTTACGCATTTTAGCATCTAGCCAACGCTTGGGAATTGGATCCCAGAAAAACTGACAATGATGCCACATATGTACAATCAGCCGAATGCGAAAAAATTAGTCCAGGGTACTCACACATACTTAACAAATTCCCAAATTTGAATCGGTTGTCTATTTTCCTCTTTGATATCAGACACTATCTATAATTCCCATGTCATTGCTCCAAACTCCCTCAGATTCAAAACCTTATTCATTATGGTCTTGTCAGTTTATTGTAAAGTCGATAAGATCTTTCGCTCAACTGTTGAGGCCATGTTTCAGATCCAGCGGAGAACACCTTTTTCTTCTTATACAGTCTTCCATACGGCTGACTCAGCACTCCAAACACTTGGGCTAACCCGAAAACGAACTGGTGCTTCCCATCCTTTATCTTATTATCCAGGCTGACCAAATGAACTTCCTTGTCAACTCAAAGACCCCGTACCCATTAGGTTCCACTCAGAAATAAACACAAGTACAAAATAACTCGTGCGGCCACATGATCTTCATCCGCCGACAATAGACCATGTAGATCATGATGGTCGCAATAAAGTTAGGCTTTATGTTATTCGGGATCACCCCATAATGATTCAAAGCCGTCACAACTCTGTACATAGAGACAACCACAACCCAAAAACAAACTAATCTTTGTAAAAGATTAACTCACCATCATTTTGATCAGTCACCCGGATGTCATAGTTGACTGCCTTTCAGAGACTACCTTTGAACACAAAAGCATCCTGCATTACTGTAGTATCGGTCGGACCAATAGTCGACATTGCCATCGCTACAAACAAATTGAACCACTACAAAGAATGCTTTTTTTCCATCTCCCAGAGACCTACCCAAAGCCGCAGAGGAATAAGAAGAGATAATGGACCGAAGGACATGAAAAGGGTTAAATACATTGAAATTTTCGTGACAACCTTTTTATATGAGGCCAGCAAGATTTTAAGCCTCGCCCAAAACAACGCCTCAACTCCAAAAATCATCAAATCAACCAAGTTTCAATAAAAAAGGACACAAATTAAATTCATTACATACTAATAAAAACTTTTATTTCATTCAGACAAATTACATATGAGTCATTAGCCACACAACAAAGATGAGTCCCCACTAAACCAACTTCTGATATAACGCTTGGCCACTGAACCTAAATCTATATATGCTATCAACTTGAGCTTGGACTTGGAGGAGTGCAGAGGTCAACCGAAGGTTAGTCTTCTCTGCTCTCAAGGCTGCCGGCTTCCTGAATGCTCCACCCTTAAGCCTACCAGTTTCACCTTCAACTCTTCCATCACCACACCCTGCCGCAGGGACTTCCTAAGGGATAGTCAGAGGACCAACGGTCGCTCCATCTTGAGCCTAAACTGGAGTCCCTCCAGCCGCCTCAGATATAGAAGCTTAGATGACATCGGCCATTGACAAAACAATGCCCACAAACGTTTCACCTATTGGAATAAACAAAGTCAACATAGTAAAAGAAGTTAATTAAAATGAACCGTTTCCTCATACCCAAGTATCGATCCAATTCTGACCATCTGATTGAAAGGAAACTCTCATCAGGGCCGAATGAAATACTAACTGACTCTCTCTCCCTATGTCCAACTCCAAAGCCACAACTGGATCAATCTTTGTCCACGGGACCCTGTCGTGGAACAAGGGCTAGCCCTTAGGAACTCCAACAACCTCACCAGAAGGCAGCCCCGCCTGTAAGAGTTTCTTAGATGGGAAATCATAGGCAACCATCAGGGCTGCAGTCAACACATCCACGGGCAGCCTATACTTGCCTCCTAACCTCTTGAAGCTTCTTCACTGCCTCAAGCCAATTCCATATGAAGGCCTTCTTCAAAACATCTTAAACAAGAGCATCAATTAGAGGCTTCTTGCCACTCACCATTGCCACTCTCTTGGAACTAGTCGATTGAATTAACGCACTCACAAGAAATGTGAATGACTAAGACGTTCCCTATGCCCTATTTATAAAAAGCAACGAACATATAAATCCAGTAAGTTCTATTATTAAAACACTAATTTTGACATAAATGAATCTATTTTTTTATTAAAATTCTTTTATTTTTATTAAACAATGACTTTCAAGAAGCATGCAAATCCGACGAACTAAATATGTACACCCATAATACATCAACATGAATCTCAAAGAAATCTTTCCGAAAGAAAAACATGGTCAAAGATGGCTACTAGAAGTCAAATGTCACATCAACGCGAACCCATGTAATCTGATGCCTAAGGCCTTCATAAAAATAGCATACAACCTGCCAAACGACAACCCCTTAGAAAAAGGGTTGGGATATACCCAACCAAGGAGATCTTCCAAGCTCCTCAAAATAGCAACACAAATCATCTCAGAAAGAAGCTCAAGGTCTTTTGAGGCCCTAGCACCCAATGCAACACCAACACAAACATTCTTAGCGGCTTTCCTGTTGAAGGGGCATAGCTACTAGTAGAATTACAGTAAAGTGCACTCTACCTGACAACCTAACGTCATCTTGACAATGGAGTCCAACTCAAAAAGAGTAGCAACTAATAGTCGAACTAAAGGAGTCAATCAATCGAAGGCCCATAGCCTAGCTGACCAAAGGTTCACCTCATGGCTGACCAAAGACCCTCAGTCAGACAGATCGAAGACCATCAGTCCGACGAATGAAAGGACCATAGCCTGGTCGATTGAAGGTTGATAACCTGGCCGTCCGAAGGTCCATAGCCTGACCGACTGAAGGACCTTAGACAGGCCAACTAAAGGTCCTCAGCCGTAGACGACTGAAGAATGTGACAGCTAAATTAGTGCTCCTTTTATTTTTATTCTTTAATTCATTTATTTATTTATGTATTTATTTATGAACAAAATATTTTGTGATGCCCTTATTTAAAAAGGTTAAAGAAGGTAATTATGCATACCTAAATCAAAAAAATAAAGGGTCATTTCTACAATAAAAGACTACTGAATTTCAAACTGACCCCCTCCCCTTCTCCCAAACTCCCATGTTCTATTCCTTAAGTGTGATTCACAAAAGACAAACTTTAAAAAAATTGAAAGAAAAAACAAAAATGATCCCAAACAAGCTCCAACGGATTGAGTCATTATTTAATTTATTACATAAAAAATAAACACTAAAGAGGCGTTTGGGATCAATCCTTCTATTTTTTTGTCTTTTGTTTTGTTTATGTTTTGATTTTAAACAAAAAATGTTTGATATGTTTTATAAAAATATGAGTTTTTTTAAAATGCTCAAAACAACTAAATGTTATTTTGAGCATTTTCAAAAACATGTTGATATACTTTTAAAAATAAAAAATAAAAACATGTGAAAAAAACACGCCAAACAAATATAATTTTAAAAACAAATGGAAAAACTAAAACTAAAATTGATCCCAAACAAATCCTTGCTACCTTATATCACATCAAACAAGTTTTAACTTCTAAATAAACAAAATAAATCCATCTTCTTAAAATTTTAATCTTACAAGTATAAATGTTTAAAAATATATTAAATAAACTTTAATTTAATAATTTAGGTCATTTCCATCACATGTTAGGTGTCAGAGTCATGTCCATATCCGACATTATACTGCTCCTTATTTAAGAGACACCAAACAAAAAAAAAAGTAGTATTAGAATGAAAACAAGTTGAAAATGAGATGCATTGCTCAAGAAGGAATTCCAAATCACAGCACAAACAGAGACTCATCAAATTATTATTCCATAAACAAGTTTCTGCAAAACTCAGAACCCTCAAAATACATTTGCTTGACCATTTATTAAGGTTGTAAACAGGTCTATCCTGAAATTGTTCAAGCTATAAGGGTTACAGCATTGGCATCCTCAACTGCCAATTATTATCCCAATAATAAAACAGATAAATAAGCAGAGTTCATCTTCCTGCTGCTGGTGAAGACATGACTTGAGTTTCAGTGTAACATATTTTATAATTTTGGCAGCGTTGTAGAATTGTCAGGTGGTAAGCCAGTATCCGCCTGGAAAACAAAAGGAGAACTAAGCAAATTAAATTCTCTTCCTAAATAGGATGAGGATGAGGATATTGTATGGCCAACTGGAGGGAGAGAATATTCAACATGACTAATGGGTATAGTTTGAGCAGCTGAAGCTTTCAAAGTGGGCGTCAAATTGTTATAGGCATAGATTTTTGGAAATTGTGGATAGTATAAACTATTTGATTTGGAAAACTGGATATAATAATTTTCTTCTAACTTCAATACTCTGTTAGAATTAGAAAATTTTCATCTTTAGAAGCAAAAAAAACAGCTATAGCCAAATTGAGGTGTCGGTTGACTAGAAATTAAATTTAATAAAAGGTTATCCCAAACATAAGATATTGAGTCAGATGGGTGAATTAAGTAATAATAAAATTTTATTAAAAATTAGATCACTTTGCAGTTTATTATCACTATTTTGGCAGAAATTTTCAGAGGAGAAGCAAATGAACAAAAATTAAAGTAAAGATGGAGCCGCTGCACCGTATCGAGCAAAAAAAATAGCCAAGAAAACAGAGAGAGCATTGGGCAGAGGGCTGAACAACTAGCACAGCAGCGATACATGTGGTGCATTAGCGCCAACCTTATGGTGCAATAGTGCTACAGAGGTCTAGAAAATATTTAGAAACCCGAGAGCTTAGCGTCTTAATGCTAGATTATAGAGTTGCAACATCGATTGCAAGAAAGAAAAAAACTTCAAGTGAGATGAGCATCTCAGCACTGGAAACTGGAGCAATTGGTGGCAGAATGTAGCAAAATAAGCCAAAAAGATAAAACTCAGCACCACAGCACTGAGAGTTTGCGTCGCGGGAAGAGGGCCCATGAACCAAAGCTAAAATTTCAAAGCAGACAGTGCCCCGACGCTAGCATGCACAGCGCCGCGGCAGGCTGAGCATTTATTTTGAAGCAGTTTCGAAGACAGTTTGTTGAGTTTTTTGGGGAGTTAAAAAGCGATATTATGTGAGGGCTCACTGACAGTACAAGTAATGTAAGAGAGATGTGGAGAATTGAGATGTGGAGAATTCTAGTGAGACTTAGTAACCGAAAGGGCAGAAAATATTGAGAAAAGCTCGGAGAAAGAAAGGAAGAGGAAAAAAATTTCAAAGAGCAGCTTTGTAACAAATTGGTCTGGTTCTATCTTTTATTCTTGTATTTTTCTTCTCCACCGTAATCAGTTATTATTTCTGTGTTTCTACATTCAACTCATTAACCAATTCAATCAAAAGTCTGGATTTGAGATTAGCTAAAATACAAAGTTCTATTTGTCCTTTAAATTTTACAGCATTTTTGTAAGAAAAATATATAAATTACTTCAACCTAACTAAGTTTACCTACTGATCATTGGTTACAATTAGAGTAATTTAACAATTTCTTGAATATGATAGACATATACCTGTTTAATAACAAGCAATCAATAAAAAACTGCAATTCATATAGACATATATTGAATTAGAATTAATTAATTGAATCTTCTAGTTATATCGATAAAGATTAGGATATTACTATGCTCTTGATTGACATAAAAATTATCATTTCAAAGAATCTCAGAAAATTAGTACAAGTGTATTACAAATCCAAGATGATCTCTCCACTATTGCCTCTCATGTTAGTTAGGATTTATATTTTAGATTAATTTTTGCAATTGCTGAATAAAAGCTTAGGATTACAAGTATTAGTAATTAATTTTCTGAATTAAAATAGTAATTCTCGTGATAATGATATCCTATTCACTTATATATTTCTTGTGGCATGTACATTTACGTAGACCTGGTTAGAAGCCTAACTCATGTTGTAAGAGGCAAATGATAAACTTATCAAGGGGGATATTGTAATGGATTATTAACCAAAGAATCAAAATTAAGCCTTCTACACCACTAGTTAAACAATAAATGATTAAACTCAATACTATTACATGCCTTAATAGCTATGTTCGTGATTGCAGCAGTAGTCAAAACAAAGACGAGAAAAACAAACCTGAAGATATATACTCAATAATGATGTGGTACTAAAGTTGAAGCCCTCAACAGGCTTCCCAGAGGTGCGAGACAAGTTCAGCTGTTTTCTGACTTGGGAGGCAAGTGACTGCAAATTCCAGCAGCCAAAACAACCTTAATCAGGTTCAAACAAGATAAACAGGTACCTAATTCTGAACAGTCATGAATAGGCAGTAATGATACAATTTAGGGTAGGTGATATTAGCACATACCTTGCCTAACTCCACACCCCATTGATCAAATGAATTGATATCCCATATGAAGCCCTCAACAGCAATTCGGTGCTCATATATTGCTAGAAGCTGCATAGAAGAATTTTTATAGTCATCATTGTCCACAACTGCACTTTAAGCAATCAGAAGACCATATTAAATAGATCGCCAATACTCAGAGAGGTATAATGCCTATAACTTATATTTAGATAATTATTCTATTTATACACCGTAAATGTAAAAACAATGGTTAGAACTTTGCCCAGAAAGATATGTAAAAATTACTCGAAAAAGATTGGATTCAAATCATCCAAAAAATTATTTTAACATTTTGAAGGAGTAAGCTACAAAACATTGTTGACCTCATTTCTGGATGAGGTCTCTTTTTTGTCTCTCCTTAGAGCCTAGGGTCTAGCTTTAGGTTTTCCCTGTTCGACTCTCTTAGAAGACTAGTACGGAACCCACACCATTTAGAAAAATTCAAGCCACCTCGTCACTCCTTCGAGTTTCGCATGGGCGGTCCCAAATCCTTGACATTCTGTTGAGTTGATTAAGATCGACACATGAAACTCGAGTCGAGTTCCTACATTAATAGGAGCAGCCCATAGGAAACCCCTTCGCGACACGAACGCTCGATAACGCCGCATTTTTGCGCACTCACTGCACCACACGCGACTTTGACTTGAATCAACTCGCCCGTACGACCCCGGATGACGAAATGGACCTCGTCGACGCGTCCGGAACGTCGATTTTAGCTGGAAATGACACCCATATTGTTGTGGTTCCACACTCGCGCAAACTGCACGAATATCGATACACTTTTTTTTAGTTGTGCGTGGGCCCGGGCTCAACTCAGGTCCGACTCGGGTTTGATTCAGGCTGGACTCGGGCTGAACACGGGCTAGGCACCAGCTCACCTGGATTTGAAATTCAAATTTTAAAATTCAAATAGATTATTTAATTTTTGTCTTAATTAAAATTATCCAGGTGTTAATTATTTCCAATTAATCTCCCTTGCATTTGGAAACTATTTATTTCCCCGCCAATTGCTTCCAGAGTAACGAGTAACGGCTATTGCCCCGCTCCAATTCTAAAAAGGAAGGGATTGCTCCTTCCTTTGGGGTCGACTTCCTCTGCCTGCCCGGAGCTCTTCTCTTCCGTTGGCATTTCGCTCAATTTTCCCATTCCGGTTGCTGCAATCAGGAAGCTTGCCTCCTCCTTGCGCCGAAGATCCCTGCTCGCACTCCCCGCCTCCTCCCTCTCGTGCGCGACAGACGAGCCGCTCGATCCCGCTTCCCGCTCGAGCACGCGCCTC